TGACCCTCGCCCAGCGCAGCTGAGCTCACCGTACGAGCGAAATCGCAAAGTCCCGGTTTGTCATTTTAAAATCTGGAGGAGGAGGAAGCGCCGAAGAGGCCGCAGCCCTGCGCACCGGCAATAAAACTTTACAGCCGCGCATCCGTCCCCCGGCGCTGCCAGGTTTATGGGGCGGGAGCCCCCTGGTTCGCTCCGGGGTCCCGAGCTACGCGAGGGGTCCGATTCGCTTCCCTTGTTCTGCTGCCAGGCGCTACGGGCCAAGCCCTGGGCCTCGCTGACCCGGTTTCCCGGGGTTGTACGGCTGTAAAGAGCTGCTCAGAGCAGAAGCGCTGACTGGTCCCTGGGTGTTGGCTGCGTCTCCGTGTGCCGTCCCCGGGGACAGACCCGCCAGCGGCCTCTGAGGGAGGCGAGAGCTGCTGATGGCCTCTCCCCGCGCAGGTAATGCCCCTCCAGGCGTGGACCCGGAGGCCTTCTCCTGGTTCCAGGCGGTTGATGCCGATCACAGCGGGTACATCTCCGTGAAGGAGCTGAAGCAGGCGCTGGTCAACTCCAACTGGTCGACGTTCAACGACGAGACCTGCCTGCTGATGATAAGTGAGTCTGGGCTCTCCCTGCCCTCCCCCTGCTTTTTTTTCTGATCTCTCTGAGTCGAGCCTCTGTCGGGGTGAAGCCCAGCCCAGCCTGCGTTCCCCTCTTGCCTGAGCATGGCTTACCTGGGCAGCTGGCCTGAAAGCGCTCTCTGGAGCGAGAGCTGGGCAAGCTGAGCAGCTCCAAGTGCCCTTTTGGTGGAGGACACGAGTCAGGGGCCCAAACCACTGCTTGGGAAAGGGAACCCAGCTCCACGTGAGGCTGAGCAAGTCCCAACTCCCAGAGAGCCGGGGAGCAAAGGGAGGGAGAGCTCCCGTAGCGAGCCAGAGTCACGGCGTTCCCCTGCTTAGCCCAGCGTGAGTTTTGGTGCCGTTTTCCATCGGCATCTTAGGACTGAATGGTCCCAGTTGATTGCGGTCCTGGTGAGGGAGGGCTTTTGGGGCTGGAGCAGGGTGCCAGGAAGCTGCAGTGCAGATTCTGAGCTCTGTGGGAGTTTCTGCAATGTATCCTTGCTCTGCTTCTCACTGCCCTGCTCCTGCTCTTCATTCTTTTCTCCCCAGACATGTTTGATAAGACCAGGTCAGGACGCATAGATGTGTACGGCTTCGCAGCCTTGCTGCGCTTCATCCAGCAGTGGAAGAACCTCTTCCAACAGTATGACAGGGATCAGTCAGGCTCCATCAGCTTCAACGAGCTCCAGCAAGGTGGGCAAGGGGCAGAGACACCAACCTGGCCCTTACCGAGCTCCCTGGGGACCGCTGTCCTGCTCTGCTTGGTGTTTATTTCCAGCCCGGCCTGGCGACTCCTCCCGGTGCTGTCCCTGCAGCAGGGCTGGGTGTCTCTGAGCTCCCGGTGCCTCCCACGCAGCCGTGGCTGCAGTCCACGCCTGTTGCTGCGCTGGGGCACACTGGGCTGGCTAAACCGGCCGTGGCAGAGCTGGCGCTGAGCCTTCCCATGGGGCAGGAGATGAGGAGCCACGGCAGAGCTGTGGCATGAACTTCCTGAAGGAAACCCAAAATGCTCCCCCCCACCCCCGCAATGGTTTGTGGTTAAAGGCTGTTTTCTGGGAGGAGCTCTTGGGTGTGTGTGTCTGATGGAGGGGAAAAACGACTGGAATTCGGGCCTGGGTTCGGTACCTCCCTCCGGAGAGCCCTGCCCACGCACGCCTGCCATCAGAAATGAATATCACGGGGCGGTGGGAGATGGGGTGGGTGCCGGCAGACGGGAGGGAGGGCATAGTCGCTCTTCCTCCCGTCAGGAGGGTTTAATCCGAGTGTTTCTCGCTCCCAGCTTTCTCCCAGATGGGCTATAACCTGAGCCCCCAGTTTAGCCAGCTCCTGCTGGCTCGCTACGCCCAGCGATCCTCCAACCCCAGCATCCAGCTCGACCGCTTCATTCAGATCTGCATGCAGCTCCAGAGCACGACCGATGCCTTCCGCGAGAAGGACACGGGGCTGGTGGGCAACGTGCGGCTGAGCTACGAGGACTTCCTCACGATGGTCGTGACTCGCATGATGTGACACCCGAGGGCTGGGAGCCAGCCAGGGGCTCTGCGGGGCTCTGTGGGAGCAGCACCCATCCTCGGCCTCCCGCCTGGATGTGGCCGAGCCTCTCGGAGAGCGAGCGGTTCCCCCGGGCCGGCTTTCCAGCCTGCTGTGCCTGAGGAGCCCCGAGCCCTGCTGGGACCCTCCTGGCTTCGATTTCTTGTCCCCACTCATGGCAGTGGGTGTCTCCACACCAAACTGGAGCCCAGTTCTGGGGCCATGCTGGGGGGTGGGACAGCCAAACCAGTAGCCTGTGCCATGCCTCCCAGGGAGTGCTTAGACCTTCCCTCGCCAGACACAAAATCATAGTTAAGCCCCATCTGCACCGTCCCTCTGCTTGGCGTGATGTCTGGAGTGGAACGGCCCCGTCTCAGCACGCTTTTGGGGACTCTCCGGTGACCAAGAGCTGAGCCTTCATTTCGAAAGCGGCAGGAAGGGCACAAGTGACGGCAGAGATTGTCCTTCCTTGCCTCGCAGATGGCCCTTCCTTGCCAGGAGCGCGTCCAACCTCTCGGCTGGGCTCGAAGCGCTCCGGCTTTCCTGGGGGGGGTCTGAGCCCCGTTTCTCTCCGTGCTGCTGGAAGAGGCCGTGTTGCTGCCGTCACACGCAGGATCATCGACCCCCGCCTTGTTGCCAATGTCTGTTTTGATTTGTCTCTGTCTGCCGAAGCCAAACTCAAACGGTTTAGAGCTTATTTTTACAGCTTTTGAATAAAAGGCGATGTGCACTGGCCGCTGGGTGGGTTGTGTTTGTGGAGGGGCTCCCAGGGGTGCTGCCCTGCCTCGTGTCCCCCCTCAGGGGCCAGCAGCAGCTCTGGGTGCAGGGAGGGGACGTGTCCCTCTGTGCCCCTGCTCTGGGTGCTGCTCCCAGGGCTCTGCACGCTTTCCTGGAGTTAGTTCTTACACGTTTTGTGTCAACTTAGAGAAAATAAGGTGCCGAGGGCTCCTGCTGAGGTACGAGTAACGATTTGACTAACACAAAGGTTTTCTTCCCTGTGGTTTTAACGTGACGTCCAGGCGATTATCCTGTAATTGGCCTTGGCGAGAGATCTCAGAGGTGCTTATGAAGAGGTGCGTTGCTTTGAAGGAATTTTTAGAAAAGAAAACCTTTCAAAGGCTGAGTACCTTTTCTGATGCTCTTGGCAGCGGTAACCAGAGGTCGGTGTTTTCCTCAGTTCAGCCAAAGGCAGGACTTTCTGTTCTGGAGCATCTCTAATCATTCCAGCAGTATTTCTCATCGTCTCCTGTTGAGTCAGAGCTGCCCGGCCTTTCAGAGAGGGCACCCCCCCCCACACACACTGTCACCCGCGCTGGGGCTGTCACTGCCTGTGGGGGCTGTCACCCCTCTGTCCCCAGCAGGGATGATGGGGGTGACCCCAGCTGGGCGTGAGTGAGTGTGTGTAGGTGTGTACAGAGTCACGGAATGTGGGAAGGAGCCATCACGTCATGGAGTCCAGCCGTTACCCCCGCGCTGCCCAGCCCACGGCCACGCCACGTCCCCAAGCACCACATCTACGCGGCTTCGCAACACACTGGGGACTCCACCACCGCCCGGGGCAGCCCTTTGGGGGAAGAAACCTTTCCTCATGGCCGGTCCAACCCCCCCGGCCCAGCCGGAGGCGGTTTCCTCTTCG